CCCCTCCATATATTTGAATATATATCTATATATATATATGCATGCCAAGTGCTATAGCCTTGCACATTATTTTATCCCACAATTCTGCAAATTAAAAGGCCTTTATTCATTGGATAAATGATTGATAAATTGATTGATGATTGTTAAATGATTACCACCCATCACCATTCATGCCAGTTTTAAACTAAAAAACTAAAATTGCCTTATATTAAAAAAAGATGCGATTGTTATTTTGATTAAACGTTAAAAACAACGCTACTTACAAAACATGTTAGCACTCAGGAGTGTCTGCTGAGAATGACTCAACTACTACCACACCAAATCCTGGCACAGTATCTGTAAAACTGGATTGTTGCGGATATAGGTCTAATGAGCATCTTTGTCTGGTTCATGAAATGTTTTGCTAACAGATAGGCAAAGTTCTAAACCAAGATTTAGCACTTTGACTGTGTTGAGTAAGCCACACCTAATTCTAGCTAATTATGTGTAAAACTGAGTTGTAGATACTTTTAGTGTTTTAGGTCAGTTAGCTGTGGCGACCATCTTGAATCAGGTTGACTCCAAATGATGTAGAGGTACCATTACTTTCTAAATCTTTCAACAAAATCCCCATCCAGTGGTCTGAGATTTTACAGACGCACAGACATGAGCAAAAACATTATCGCCCACCTGCTGACATTGAGCAATAACAGTTTGACAACACAGAAAAGACTAAATGTTCGCTCAAATTTAAACGTTACAAGCTAATCCACTGGTTATGTAACATTTTAACTTGTATTAAATTAAGTGCACTCTCTTTCCTTTCTGTTAAAGATTGAGGCATTGTGTTCAAGTCTTCACGACCTATTAATGCTGTAATGCAAAATCAGCGTGTGTTAAAACTAAGTCCATCCTTATAAATTTTAGAGGATCTCAGGGGACAATCAGCAGCCAAAAACTGCTCATTAAATGCATGAATCAGCTCAATTTATCACCATCAAGCAACACATCCTAACAGAAGTTCAGCAGTTTACTGCTTCGGAGAGAGTGAGCCAAGAAGGAAAAGACTTTAGCTCCGACAGAGAAGCTGCCCATCGATTTGAGGAACATTTTAAGGTCTTTTCCAAATAATTTGAAGCCCATTACTTTGAAAGATTAACTACAGCTGGAAAATATTCAAGACAGTTGCCAATGATTAGTGGATGTCCCAGCCAGAGTGAATTCCTCTGAAAATTCAGTGTTTAATGACATTCCTGAAATTTATCAAATAAGCTCAAAGTACCTTGTTACAGCTAAAGCAGCAGAACATTAGGTATCAACTTAAAAGTGCAAACCATTGAAGCTAAAACAAGCTACTTCAATTACTTGACAAAGTTACGCTGCACCACATCTGAAGTATTGAGCAGAAAGCCATGACACACCATGCAGGATGTCTTAGTTTGTGTCAAAAGGACACTGCACCACCTTTCTATCGATTGGTTCTGTAAATGGAACCATAAACGAAGCTCAGCGCTGAGGTCTGCAGCGCTCGAAGTGTTGCCTCAGCTCTCTAACCTGCAGGGTTTGGGCTCATCAGCGCAGCGAATCCTTCCTGCAACATCACTAATGGAGGCACGTTGTGCACGGTCTACCCCCTTTGAATATTTCATTTGCGCCCCCCACCCCCCTAAGAGGGAAAGAAGGAAAAAGAGGCGGAGGAGTGGAAAAACAAGGGAAATCCAGCACCAAGGGATAAATGTATAACTTGTGCCCTTACACTTAGACAAGCCGCTGAAATATTTCAGCTCAAAACTCATAACTTTATTAAAAACAGACCTTTCTGCTGTTAATTAGAATTTCAGCATCAAAAATTATCTTCACCATCCTTTCTTGATTGCTGTGGCTGGCACAACATTTAAAATGGGCGTAATTTTTCTATATCGAAAGACATGTTTTATGTTGCCTTTGTGCCAATTTAGATAAACAAAAGTTAAAATTATTTGTAAATTACTGCATCTTTTATACACTTTAAACAGCTCAAATCTTTTGGAAATACAACAGTGTGGTAACACTGCCCTCTGGTGTGTACTTAACTGTGCTCCACTTATTTCTCCAGCTCAAAACTAAACAAAATGAGAACAAATTGCTTTTCTTTCAGAGGTTTGGTGTTATGATCATATTTGGAAATATATGTAAAGGTTCTGTTAACAAAATAGTTTACGGACCGGAAAAAAAAAACAAAAAAAACCAAACTATTTTACCTCCAAAAAAAAACAAACAAAAAAAAAACTTTTGTGTTCAGTTCTTGCAAGCTGCAAACCTGTAATTTCTCACCCCATTCCTAAATTAATGGTAAAATTTCTATACGTCTAGTGTTTTAAAACATGTAAATAAACATTTTGATTTAAAAACAAACAGAATTAGCTCAGGTTTAATAATATGGGCTGCATTTTTCTCTTTTGCACCTGTGTCAACCTGCATGCACACAAGCAGTTTATTAATGATAATGTACATTAATAAACGTTAAAAATACAAATGTATACCAGTTATTTTATCAATGATAATGTACATTAATAAACCTTAAACAAATGCAAATGCATACCAGTTATTTATCAATGATAATGTGCATTAATAAACCTTAAACAAATGCAAATGTATAACAGTTATTTAACAATGATAATGTGCATTAATAAACCTTAAAATGCAAATGCATACCAGTTATTTAACAATGATAATGTGCATTAATAAACCTTAAACAAATGCAAATGTATAACAGTTATTTTATCAATGATAATGTGCATTAATAAACCTTAAAATGCAAATGCATACCAGTTATTTAACAATGATAATGTGCATTAATAAACCTTAAACAAATGCAAATGTATAACAGTTATTTAACAATGATAATGTGCATTAATAAACCTTTAACACATGCAAATGCATACCAGTTATTTATCAATGATAATGTGCATTAATAAACCTTAAAATGCAAATGTATAACAGTTATTTATCAATGATAATGTGCATTAATAAACCTTAAAATGCAAATGTATAACAGTTATTTATCAATGACAATGTGCATTAATAAACCTTAAAATGCAAATGTATAACAGTTATTTATCAATGACAATGTGCATTAATAAACCTTAAAATGCAAATGTATAAGTTAATTATCAATGATAATGTGCATTAATAAACCTTAAACACATGCAAATGTATACCAGTTATCCAAGGCTAGTTTGTATCTGTTGTTATTGGACAGGTGTCACCACCTGAACACATAAAGTCCAAACCTTAAAAGGTGCTGCAGTGGTAGGTCTGCAGCAATGCCTGCTGGGTAATTAGTTTCAGCTTTTGAAGTCTGCCTCACGACTGGTCACCGGATGTTGCCAATTAACGGCTAATTGCTCCCAACAGGCAATAAAAGAAGTCGATTAAAGTGGCCGCCCTCCCAAATTATATTTTGGTTTAAAGAAAAGAATAGTTCAGATTTCCGAGAACAACTCAACGACGACGAAAATGAGCGGCGTTCGCGGTGGGAAGGCTCAGACGTTCACCTGCACGCACGCGGACTGCAGAGCTACTTTTCCAAGGGAGTGGAAACTGAAGGAGCACAAGACCGCGCACACCGGGGCAGTAAGGCGTCACATCAAACTCATTTCATGTAGCTAAATGTTAAAAACCAAATATGAAATGGGATGGTCAAATTAAAGATTAAGTAGTGTATTGTTCAATAGTTGTATAGTACCTGATCAACCAGGAGGGCGCGGAGGAAGACCTGTCCAGGCTAGGCTAATGACTAGCTAAACCGGGAGCCTCATTTTTTGCTTTTAAAGTTTGTAAATGGTTCTAAAATATATCAAATATCGAAAAAACGTTACATAGGTAACGAAAGTTCTACATTAGTTTGTCGCGTTTTTATAAACTGAACAATATTACTCTAGTGACGGCTGAATCAGTCCGCCAGCGGGAGTCGCGTGAACTTTTAACCCTGATTTGGCGGAGGGATACATTCAGCACACGAGCCCGACACTCGCGTAGTAACGCGGACGTTGTTTGGTTGAAGAAAACTAGGACCTAAAAAAAAAAAGTTTCATATCGAAGTGAAAGTGAGTTCACAAATGGCTGACCGCGGTCTCGATGCAAACGTCTTATTTTCAAATTTTTTTTGTTCGCAAGTTTTTCTGTTTACGGTAATTTGTTTTTGTGCAACTTTCCCCATTTTTTACTTTGTCAATTTTCAGCATGGCAACTTTTCTGACATTTAGGAATGCAAAAAAAAAAAAAAAAATTAAATTATTTCAGTTGAAATAACAAAACTATACAAAAAAGTTAATCTGGGTTTAAAGTGATTTTAAATGTCAAAATTTGGGATATTGAACATCCTGAATTTCCATTGAACATTGTGGAAAATTTGTTTGCCGTAACATTAGCGTAATTTCTACATATTTTTAGATTGCTATAAAACTTTAAGCAACTAATTAAAAAACATAATTGACAGTGTTGCTGTTAATCTTGCACCTTCAGGAAAATCCAACAACTTTTATTGGAGCAAAGTTCAAAATGATGCCATGGTTGTATCAAATAGTGAACATCTAGAGGACAAAGGATTCCTGTGTACTTATTGGAAATGCAGATTCACATTTTTCAATCGAATACACAAGAAAAAAATACTATATAGTGGATGGGCTTGATGGGTAAGAATCAAATTAACTAATTTGAACCAAGAATGCATCATAGTCAGCAAATTAACAAATTTAATTTATGGTGGCACAGCTTTTCTGCCTGTAATTCCACATCAGACCCACGTTTGTACTTAAAATGTCAACGCGTGGAGAGGTACTGGCCCAAAAAGACGGTGAACAAATGGCATGGCTGTCGAACTGAATTTAAAAATGTATATTCTGATTCTTTTTGTTTTTGTTTTAGATGAACCTTGTTGAATTTTAGCTAAAGAGCCCTTTGCTTTATAGTCGATGTTCTGTCACATCTCATAACTATTAAACTGTTTGATAGAACATCCATCCATCATCTTTACCTGCTTCTCCTTCTTTGTAACATCACTTCAAAAAATAAAACGTCACCAGACCCTCTTAACCTGAATGTCCACAGCGCCCGTGTCTGTGCACAGTTGCTGGTTGTGGTCGTAGCTTCAAGAGAAAATCCCACCTGAGCCGCCACATGGTTCTGCACAAAGGAGTCGAGCAGTTCAAGTAAGCGACTATTTTAGTTTCACGTGGTTCCACAAAGACCTCATTTTTAACTCCTGGTTTGTTCCAGATGCCAAACCTCCAGCTGTGTAAAGACTTTCCTCCACGCAGACGGGCTGAAAAGGCACGAGCTCTACGCTCATGGAGATGAAAACGGCTTGAAGGTTTGAGAGCTCTGTTTTTTCCACCAGATGGCAACAAAGCAGCGGTGATTTTTGAAAGCCTGTCTGAAAATGTCTTTCCTTATCAGTGCAATCAACCCAACTGCTCCTTAACCTTCAAAAAGCGCAGATTGTTGAAGCTGCACTTACAGGAACACGGCGTGGCTGCAAAGTTCAAGTATGTCCACACTATAGCATTAGATGTATGCTTGCTGAGCCCTAATCACTTAAATCTTAAGACTTGGAAGTTAAAAGCTGAGATTTCAAACGCATTAAACCAAGCTAAGCAGGGATATATTTTTTTATATTTTCTGATTGCATCTCGCAGATGTTGTAAGGATGGATGTACTGCTACTTTTGAGACTCACATCGCCCGAAAAGCCCATGAGAAGAAGCATGCAGGTTGGTCTATTTTGGCCTGAATACAACTCGTTGGACCTTTATTGAGGCTCCGTTTAATTAAATTATTTCTCGAAGGTCTATTGTAATTGCTCTGTTTATTTTTTGTCTTTTTTTAAATTTGGCTCCTCCCTAAAGAAGCGTTAATTTGGAGGTGTTAACGTATCTGAAAACGCAACAAACCCAAAATTGTCCCCTGCGTGAAATTTTAATATTTTAATGGAACCTAAAGTGGGCGTGGCCAAACTGCTCTGCAGCGCTCCTAACGTGAGGTATGCCTTGAATCCAACAGGAAGTCGGCCATTTTTTGCGTTTTTCACTTTCATACATGGCGGATTTTAACGAACTCCTCCTTGGGATTTTGAGCGATTGCCTTCAAACTTGGTTGATATGCCCTTAAGACATTAAGGAGTAAAAGTTATCAAAAACTTGTTTTTGTTTAGTTAAAGGGGCGTGGCCAGGCCTCAAAGTTGCGCTTCACGCCGTAAATTTCCAAACGCTATAACTTTCACATTGAAAGTTATTGTCGCTGTTGTCCATTGTCATCATTCTTTGTTGAAATCAGGTCTCTCTTGTAAATGAGTCCTCAAGGCTCAGTGGGATTAACCTGTCTAAAGGTTGAATGAAAGTTAGGCCGAAGCCTCTTAATGCTCCCATCTACAGGTTACCGCTGCCGTCATCCCAACTGCCAGGTGCTTGAACACACCTGGAGCCAGCTTCAGAAGCACATGGTCAAACACACGGGTAAACGTCTGCAAGCGAAGGCACCAAATGGTTCAAGTTTTTGTTACAGAGCACCTGGTTAATCAGTCTTAACCGTTACAGCTACGTTTACGTGCACGGCGTGCAAGAAGGTGTTCCAGAAGGCGGATGCTCTTCGGCAGCACAAACGGAAACACGCGACCCTGAAGCCCGTGCTGGTGTGTCCCAGAGACGACTGCCAGGCATATTTCTCCACAACCTTTAGCCTGGAGCACCACATCCGCAAAGTGCACCTTCAGCTCCTGAAGTACAAGTGCTCCTTCCCCGACTGCCCACGCATGTTTGCGATGCGGGTGAGAAAACGTATAAAAGATAATTTAAAGAGCATTTGTGGTGATTGAACTTCTACAATTTAATCTACAGGAAAGCATGAACAGGCACCTTCTTTGCCACGACCCAAGCACCTCAACGCTGCAGGTAAGTCCACTCGTTAACCAAAGGAATCGGGTTTCTTTAGCCCAGCTGAAAATCTTTCTTCGTCTCAACAGAAACGCTGGAAGCCCAGGAAATCCTGGCAGAAGCGTTTAAACGGAAACAATCAGCCCCTCGTGGAGGATAACCTGCGACGCCTCTTCACGCTGCGCATGTGGATCTCCAGACGCGCAAAAGTGGAAGCCAACCTGTCGGGCCTCTTCAGCGAGCGGAAGATCCCGCACTACGTCGACCCAGAAGTGAACCTGCGAGACCTGTTCAAGATCAAGCAGACTTGTCCTGTAGAGAGCCTAGAGGCTGCGCCAGTGAAGGGTTAACTGGGAACGTCCCAGTACAGCTGGGGATTTAAAGTAATTTATTTTCTGTAAGAATTGGGTCGTTTTAGTTTGAGTAGTTGACTTTAACACGTGATGTGAAGACTTTGATCATGACGGGAGGTTCTGAAATGTTTTCAGTGGTTGGAGACCCAATAAAATGAGTTCAGTTTTGCTCAGTCGCTTCAGTTGTTGAGGATTGGCACTCGGTAGCAGCTGATCACTTGATTATTCAGGCTGATTTCTCTGCGGTGCTGTGGGCCCACTCAAACAGCTGCTGTCCTCCTGCAGCCTTTCTACTTTCTGCTTCGGCTGCACCAGTTGGTTGACATTTGCCGAACATGTTGGCGCTCATTAAATATGAACAAAGAGCTGCACGTGACTAAGAGCTGAATCAGACTGTTGAGCTTCGAGGGTGTTCAGTGTTCTGTTTATTAAAAAAAAAAAAAAAAAAGCTTCAGGGGAGTGTAAAACGTGGCCTAACGCTTTCTCTAAAGCTAAATGTTGCATTGAACTGGTTTTAAGTTCCACTGTGATCACCTGTTGAGGAGATCTGCAATTCATTTTTGGGTCAAATTTTTTCCAAATTGTGTAAATTTTAGTTCTTGACATCTTGAAACACTAAATTAAAGTTTGTTTCTGAAACTAAAACTATTTTTACAAATCAGTTTTCAGTGCAGAATGAAGTTTGCAGAAGTAATTAAAGCTGAAAAAATAAAAGCCTAAACATTCTTTAAAGAAATGCTCATCCCAGTTCAAGATGAGAGAAATGAGTTTTGATCAAACCTTAACGTGCAGTGTCGATCAATAAACTGGTTAAACTGGTTGAGTTGGACAATTTCATGTATGCTAATGTCAGTTAGTTTTGGTGGGCATCTTCCATAAAGTTGACATTAATATTTCCAGTTAACTCCACTTGTCAATTGTGGAGCCAATGTATACTTTTCAGAGTTTAACATCTATCAACGAGAATATTTTGTTAAAAAGACTTTGAGTTTATTACAGAAGTTTTAAATAATGATTTTATGCACTCAGATTACACGTTCTCTGCTTTTACCACTAAATTTAAGGTAAATATTTGTGCGTTCTAACCATTTGTATCAACTGCTTGTCTGTGGCAGCCATCTTGAATTGGGTTGGCTCCCAAAAGTGAAAGTTGAAGTCCATCAAACGATGCGAGTCCGTCTTCTGGTTCATAAAGTGGAGCGTGCACAAAACGTGCGCGCACTATGGCGTGAGTTATAACAGCAGAGGAATGAAAAGCCTGCACAATTTGGAAACTTGGACTAAATGATCAAAACTTTAAAATTCCACAATTTCTGCAGCAAGGCGATGCTTAACGTTGTTTAAAACCAGAATGGTAGGGAGGAACTCTGATTTAGAGTTGCTCTTTAATGCTCATAAATCATTTCTTTTTGTTGAACCTTGAGATTTGTGTTAAAATCCCTCTTCGCTTCACTGAAGCAGGACCAACTCCCAGCAAGATGTCGGGTTGAGCCAAAACTGTTCGCTCTGCTGAAGGTCATTAAGCTTCTCGGGCTTCTGAGACTACCTGCAGCCAAACTAAGGATGCTCGTCTGCATCCTTTGTCAGACTGAAAGTTTGCAGTTTTACACGGCCAACATCGTCTGAAGACGTCTGTAATTACCCCGCCTGTTTGTCGTGGAGCTCATTTACAAAGTGAAGATAAAAGCGGCGAAATGGACGCCTCTCAACGGGAAATTGCTTCAAATGTGCGGCTTTCACCGTCAACAAATGGAAGTTTGAAAGGTTGGACTGGTTTCTATGGCAACACGTTTGAGAACGAATGTTTACCTTTTATTGTGCTGCTTAGTTTATATTTTTATCAGACGTTCAGCATGTGTGGACATTTCTCTCATGATTGCAGGTTTCTAATGAAGACACACAGTTCAATAAGTGATGAGACTTCCTGTTCACCAGGAACGACCTCTAAACCGAGTGTGACCTTTACTGTGATGAGAAGCATTTTAATCCAAACACACACACAAAAGTCAAATATACTAAATTTTAAAAAGTGTTGGGACGATGTTTTCATATTCAGAAAGCAAGTGTTTCAGAATGTTGTGAACCCCTGGATTAATTTGAAACGTGCAGAAAATAATCAGATCGGCCAACTAAACGGACAAAACTCAAACTTTATAAATATTGAGCTAAACTTTGGTGTGATTTACTGGATGAATATTTAAAACCATCTCAGCATGGCTTCATGACATCAGCCAACACAAACTAGCCCTAATTCAGTCATTTAATATCACAATAGTGTGAATGCTTTTTAAGCATTCACACTATTGTGATCCTGTTTATTATTCTGGTTTCTTGAATCTATTCTGTCCGTTTTTCAACGCAATTCTTGTCCCGCAGTTTTTCAGCTATTTCAACAAATCATAAATCAAAACTTTCAGCTCTTACAGGACAACCCTGCTGTGACTTTTGGTTTTGGTGCAGCTTTAGCTTTTTGAAACATTTAGCCTTTTCTGCCACTTTTTCCTCGTATAAAATGAATTGAGCTCATTTTACCTCCTTCAAGTCTTTAGATGTGTTTACAACTTTTTACTGCTCCTTCACATTTTGTTCTGCTTCAGCTTCTTTCAGCTTCCTTGCACATTTAAACTTTCAGCTACTTTAAGCTGTTTAGTGATCATTTCATATTCTTTTGACTAACTACAGCATTTTTGTGCTTCTAACATCTTTCTGCTGATTTCAGCTTATTCCTTTCAGCTTACATGTGTCTGCGAGTTTCAGCTTTTTCTGCTATTTCAGCTACTATAGCTGTTTAATGCTAATTTTCTCCTTTTCAGCTAAGTCCCCATTTTTTGCACTCATTTAACCTTTTTTCAGCCAAATTCAGCAAAATGTGCTCTCTCCACTACCCTCTGCTAATTTCAGCTTGTTTCTGAAAATTTTCAGCTACTTTTTTTTTTGCATTCAGCTTTTTTTAAGCAAATTTACTCATTTTTGTGCTCATTTCTGCTCATTTAAAACCAATTAAGCAAATATTTGTTCTTTCTGCTTGCTTCTGCTAATTTAGGCTTGTTCTTCTATTTCAGCTACAATTCAGCATGTTTTTTATTTAGCTAATTTCAGCTGTTTGTCAGCATTTTTTAGCAGGAAATGCAATTTCTCTAGTTTAATCTCAGTATGTTGTCTCCCCAGTTAAAGTGGAAACTAAAAATACATCAATCTTATAGTTTACTATCACTTTGGGAATTTAATTTTAAACATTTAAAGTCTCGTAGATTAATGTCATTACACATTGACTTTTTGCACAAATTTCTCTTTATTTTTTAATCTTTTGGGCTAACAATGCATCCCAAAAATAAGGCTTAAAACGATTGGTTTTTTTTTTGTTGTGAAGAACTTTTACGTTGATGATAAATTGTTGATGAAACCACGTTGATGTCAAACAGTTGAAACTGACCGAGACGCTTCATGGGCAGAAAAACAACATAAAAAAATTAAAACAAAAAATTGTTTGAATCCAGTAAAACATTGACACTATTTTTAACTTACTGGATGTTTGAAGTCTCAAAGGGCTCCGACAAAAAAAAAAAACATTAAATTTACTAGTTTGACCTTTTGGTGAAAAGTTGAGTCAAAATAACTTGAACAGAAACAAAAACTATTCCCACATAAAATAAATCATTCAGATCATGTGTTTGGTCGCTCCACTGTCAGAGAAGTGAATCAAATGGAGTCTGTTTACAGGATTTGTTCAAAAGAGACTGTTTTACTTTGAATGTAACCTACATTAAATTTTTTCTGTTAAATTCGCTGAGCATCCAAGAGAGAGACACTCGCAGAGCAGAGAAAATTAAACAAGATAAATCAAAGTAGGTTAACTACAGCCGAGTCCACATTTAGCCTGCATTCTCCAAAATAGATGACCCAAACCTTTTATTTCTAGTCCATTTTCTTCCGTTCCCATGGCCCCGATTGAAGCTTTTTGTCGTTGTAGCAAAACCACACGTTTGCCAAGACTGGCAAGAAAAACAAAACGACCGTAAGATGCCCTCTGCACAAACGGAAATAAGATCAGCTTGTCTGAATCTGAGGGTGCAGCTGCAGCTTTAGAGACAAAATAAAGTATAACTGAGACATGCGCAGCTTTGAACAACCAATAAAACATATAATGGTGGGGGCGTATGAAAATATAAATAAAATATGCATAAAGCCATTTCCTTGGCCTCCTTCCTCTGATCTCCAACTCTTTCTGTCGTCTTTCATTATCTTTTGATTTGCGTTTAAATATTTGTCAGACTTCACTTTGAAAACAGTTTAATCTGGAATAAATTCCTGGTGAATACAAATCATAAAAAATAAAAGCCTAACATTCCTTAAAGGGTTGTGCCTTGGCTGCCAGAGCTTTAGAAATAAAAATAAATAAATAAAAATACCGTTATGTGATGTCACGCCACGCTACAAGTTGAATTTTAGTTGAGTTTTTGTAAAAATAACTGCGTTATGATTAACAGTTCCTGGAGAAACTTTGATGGGGCCATTTTAAAATTTTGATTTGACAGATAAGTGTTGTCATCTACAACCAAAACAAATTTCAGCTCAATATGGCAAAAAAAAAAAATCAATGTCTTGTAGTATTTTTTAAAGTTATGGTGGCCATCTTGGAATTATAATTTGGATTCAGTATGAGATGGGGAACGTTCTATAACCTCAGCTAATTTCAGCTCTGTATGTGTAAAAATAGCTGAGTTAAAAGCATTTAAATTTAGCTTTGGTGGCCATCTTGATTTTTTAAAATCTGAATTCAGTATTTTTAGGGCATTGCCCTCAACGACCATCACACCAAATTTTAGCTTAATATCTAAAAAAATGGCTTATTTATAGTTTGTTTCAATGAGAAAAATTGCATCTTTGTTTGCAAATTATATCGCTATGGTAAATCAAAAGTAGCAGCACACATCACGGTGCCAAGCCGGTCGTTTTGATATGTGGGGGTGCACGTTGCAGTTCGGGCCGCATTAAAGTTGATAGAAGACCAAAACCCTTTCCAGGTAGATAATAACTGGTGTCTGCCTTTCTAGACATTCCCCATTAAATGAAGTTAAGAAACCAGTTGTGAGGTGGATAATGACAGGTGTCTAAGGTTTCATCAACGGTTCATAAAATATTTTGCTAACAGACAGACACTGGCAAAAC